TACTTATGTTTCCGATGATACATGAGATTTATAACAAGCTTGTGGACTTTTGTTACTCTGTTTATAAAATGGCCTTTGCAAACAAAGTAGCAAAATTATGGCGCTATATATTAATCTCTCCTGATTTTTGTATGTGTTCAAATGTCAAATTGAGGGCCGTAAATATGTCTAGTCTAGTGGTGCAATCTTCCTTGAGAACCCAGGATCGCAGTAGGGACTAGAAACTAGAGAGTTATCTCTGGAGGAGTAGGTGAGTTTGAAAGCCATCCGGTGGCAGAGCATCTATCCTTGATGCGAGGCAAGATGCTGCTCGATAGCTTTCTTGAGATTGCATCTTGGTGCTGATTACTGGATATCAATGTTCTGTCTGGTGCTGACTGCTGAGATAAGATGGTTGTAGACGTATTTAGAAATTATTTGATAATAATAACAATTTTCTCTTTCCTTTGCACTGCAAAGGAACCAACTTAATAAGAAATGTGCGTGATTGGGTTCTCTAGAACTTTTTCACGAGTGTATGAACATTTACAGTGCAAACTAGGTGAACCTAATTGTTGCATTTTATAGTTATTTTGCTCACTTGGACTTGGGATGAGCTATGTACACTAATGGTCATTAATCGTTGTCAAATGGAGCTTGCAGGCTATAAGTAAAGGGACATGGAACGAAGTGACTGCTATTTTCAACATTCCCACTGCTACAAATGTATCTTCACTGCTGCAAGGATATTATGCTTCTCTGCTTCTTCACTATGAACTAGTCTACTATTTTAGAGCTTGTGATTTGATTCCTGTTTCTTCTGGTATGCAAATGAGAACTCACCTCTTCTTGAATGAAGGTCAGAATTTTGAGATTAATGGTATCTGATGATTCATTTGTGCAGATGGTTTTCAGAACCCATCCATTACACATAATCCTACTCAAGGGACAATACAGCCAGCCATAGAAATTCATGCAGCAAGGCCAGTCTCAACAGCAGGCTCTCTTATCAATGGAATCATCGATGGTAAATTCGACGGTGGCTATTTTGTCACTGTCACGATTGGCTCAAAGGAGTTACAAGGACTACTTTATAAGCCTACAGAGTTTGCAGCACCCCAAGTATTACAGGAATATGGCATATTCGCCCGCAACCGTGATAATGCTCATGCTCCATTGGGTGTGCAACGCTGGAGGCGTGGGAATAAATCTCAGAAAAGAAAGAGGGATCCTGCTTATCCTAAGCGTAGCAAAAGTGCATACAATTTCTTTTTTGCTGAGCAACATGCAATATTGAAACCACTTCATCCTGGACAGGGCAGAGAAATTAGTAGAATGATTGGTGCAAGATGGAACAACTTAAACAAAACAGGAAAAACGGTAAGCCATATCGTTTTTTATAATCTCTTTTGTAGTCTGTTTATTGACTTCTAACTGCTTGCAGGTTTACGAGGAGATGGCTCTCGAAGATAAAAAGAAGCGTCAAGCTGCTGTGGAGCTTTACCGGAAAGGATTAGCGGTAATGCCTGTACTTCAAGGACTTCCAGAAGCAGATGTAGAGATGGCAGAAGAAGATACGGAGCTTGAAGAAACTGCAGGTGGTGATTCTCCTCAAACTCCAGACAATGCTAGCGGCTCCAGTACTGAAAGTGATTTTGGAGATGATAAAACTGCGGATAAGGATTTAGACATGGAAGAATGATAGCAGCTCAAGCTATCATGAAGTAGTAAGAAAAGAAGCTGTAAAGATTTGTAGATGCAAGTAGGCAAAGTTCCTTTATAGTTTTGTTCTTCTTGACTCGGCAAGTTATCATGTGTAAACGCAGGAGATGCATTAAATTCTAATATCATTTTTTTTCAAAGCAGCATTTACATCTGATAGGTAACATATATTTTCCATTTAGCCATTTCAAGATAAGCAGATAAATAGTCCCATTATGCATTTATAATCTACAACTTATTAGCATGACTGGAAATGAGTTGTGCTTTCACGTTCAGGATTGAATTGGTTCATTCTGTACTGCTGTGCTAGCCAAAAATTTCAGTATTGTTCCCTTGACCATTTTCTTTCACTAAGCACCACAAATGACAACTAACAGGATAATTTTTTCTCCTACTCTGTGCTGCATTTTCTAGTTTGAAATTGCAGGATCCTTCACTCTATTGCCTGTATTCACTACTCACATATTGTGTCTACAAAGCAAATCAAGCTGCTGCTAAAAAATTAAGTTTGATAATCATATTAATGAATTAATTTGAACCCACGATCTGCAGTAGAATATATATAAAAAGTGTTTATCAAAGGAATACTTCTCTTCTGCAATACTTTATTAAAATCATTGCTTAACAGTGCTAAATTATTGCTTTTAAACTCTTCGTATTCATAAATCTCCTCAAAAATGAACAATGATGCTATAAGAATTCTTTTCCTTGATATCTACCTAAGTTCTTACCTTTTTGTAATGATCTATCTTCAATTAGGGTATTAATTATGCCATAGTCCTTTTGAAGGTGCTGCCTTCGTTGTCTCCGTTGAAATCCCTGATGGTCACCCTTACGAACCTCCCAAGATCAGATGCATAACCAAGGTACAGCATTCTAAGTTGTCTCATTTCAAGCAATTCTACTGACTTTCGCGATAACATTCCTGGCTCAGAATTAAATTCAGTCTTGGGTCTAATGATTAACTCTGCTCCCTTCCAGACATCAATGTTTTTTATTCTAATGTATAGGGTTATGTTAATTATGGTATACTTGGTATTACACAAAGATCACTGAATAAAACAGTGAATTTTCGGAAACTTGAGCTTGGTGTACTTCTGGAAAGGACTCCAAAAAGTTCACTGGAATAAAACCATCCTTAATATCAGAGACAGAACCTCCAGGCGGGTGGACAGAACTAAACCCTGAAACAAATTAACTTGAATGGTGTTCATTCACAACATCCTGTCTGATAAATCCAGGAATGTTTTTCAACAAATTGGCACCAGGAGCCTCCTCTGCTGAAGAACTGGAATTGGAACTTGAAAGCAGCCTATCAGGTGATGGTGATGATGATGATGATGATAACTTACTTCCGCTGCCACTTCCATTTTCGTGACAAGCAGTACCAGATAAAGCACCCCAAATGATTGGATCATAGAAAATTTTTGGAACTCTTGCCATGCCATAAATATAAGATGGCCACTCCTTGTTCATGAAGGTTTCCGTTTTAGGAAACTGGCTTTCCATACTCATAATTTTGGCCGAAAACAGAACAAAGATGAGAAGGAGATAGAAAAATGATGCAAATGAAAGTTGTATGCTTTATATATGAAGGTTTCTGCTAAAGCCTTACTAAAATAATATTTATGGGAAATTACGTTATTATGTTAATAAAAGATAACTCATTGACTCATTGTCCGAGTCAGGTTTGCTTGTTCAAGGTCACCACCTTCCAATTTCCCGGCGCATTCGTGCTAGCCATTCTCGATGTCTATACACAAACCAATCAAAAACTTACAGATCAGGCTTTCTTGGCTTACCTGTCATCTAGGGTTCTTGGGATAGTGTATATTCTTCCCATGACAATGACTTCGAGAACCTCAAGAAACCTTTATTTCCATAGCAGGATTATTCTGTGCTCCTTTTAATCGATGACCATGTGACTTTCTCAAACACTCGCATGTCTTATTCATCCCCTTTTACTTTCAAATTTTAATTTAAAATGAAGGTTAGGCCTTTACAATGAGACAATAATTAATTGTTGTTATAGTTGTTAGAGCAGAAAAAAATCGCAGTGTAACATCTTTACATGTAAATATGACATGTTAAATAAAATGTTTTAATATTAATCACTTGGAAATAAAATGTTTTGATCATTTGTCTACAATTTTTTTTCAATTTATTTCTAAATTTTTGCTTTTAAACTCTGTATTGTATCACAAATCTTCTCAAAAAATGAATAATGATGCTATAAGTCGTACCGTAATAAAATAATGAAATTTACATTTTCATTCTCTTATTAATTCACTTAAATATTTTATTTTCTATTATATAATTTTTCTTGGATAATTGACATACCATTTTGTGACAACAACCTTGATTTAATTATTGACTAATACCTTACCTAAAGGAATGCAGTAAAAAATTTCGTAAGAAGGTCTTGAAATCATTAGGTTTTAAATTTTTGGATCTCACCGAGTGTAAATTTAATTTACATTCAATTACGTTAATTTGTTTCTTATATTGAATTTAATAATGATATCATCTTCATTGAAAATTATTTAATTGCATATACTATATAATTTTGACTTGTGAATGGAACTCTCGTAAAAGAAATTCTTCTCACCCTATTATTGTCAAATTTCATATAGTGCATTATTTGAGGGGATATTGACATTGGCCTCAACCTTAATTGACATTGGTTTCATGTCTATGTTAATTGGAATTTGTGTACTTGATTCTTAACGTATGAAAAAAAAAATGTTTTGATTTGCAGCTTTTTCGATTTCTAAACAATTTTTTTTTTATTTTGTTTACAAGTTGAGCTTTAATTTCTATGTCTATTCAATTCTCCTTGAGAAACCAACAATAATACCACAAGTTCTATCATTATAAAAAGTACATATTTACTTTTATGCTCTTATATATATTGATTTAATTGATTTTTACTATATAATTTTTGTTTTTGGTAAAACTAAAGTTTTTATACTCTCAATAGATCACCTTAAGGGTGTGCTTCAACAAGAGATTTTAAAGAGAAAGATTTTAGGATAAAGTGGATCAATCATATGTGTCGTTTGTGTAATATTCATTTACATTATGAACAAGGAAAAGGAAAAGAAAAAATAAAGGAAAAAAGAAAGAAGAAAAGGGAAAAAATAAACGAAAGAAAGAGGGAAAAATAGTAAAAAATAAAATAAAATAAATAATCAAAAGATAAAAAATTTTAATCTAAAGAAAGAGCAAACCAAAAGAAGTTGGTAAGAAGACAGGCAAGCAAACGCCTTCATCTTCAACTACTGCAACATCAAACTTCATCATTTGCCTACTCTCATGCCATCACAAGCCATCAAGAGTTTTGGTGAAACCAAACTCTTCGTATATGGTATTGCTTGAGACCATCGACTTATACCACAAACTTGTAGTCTTCTGAATGTGCTTGTCCTCGGATCATACAATTCAAATCTGCTTCTCTCTCTACCTATTGCAAGGAATGCCACATTTTTACCATAGGTAATGAGGACTTCACCATTTTTCATAAAGCATATTGGCACCAAATCATGTGGATATGGCAATGTTTGCAGATTCATAATTGTCATGAACTTTGTCCAACCCTGTTTCGTGTTATCCTTCTCTAGTTTCCACATCTCTATGCTACGCCCCTCAAGATTTTGAGCCAAAGTTAAGCATCCTCCAATCTCCCGCAATGCAAAATCATGTCCCTTATTTACATCATTAGGCGGTGATAAAGTCTCAAACTTCTCAGATGTTAGATTAAATCTAAGAATCCAAGGAATTATTTTACCCGGATATATAATATTCCAATAAAGGACTCCATTAACAAAAGTCCCTGAAATTAAATCTTCAAAAAATTTTATAGAAACAGAAAAGCCTTGGATTCTTTTCCATGTATTAGATTTTAGTGAATAGATATACGATGATTCTATCCCATCTATAACATGAACAAATCTTATGAGTTTATAATCATCAGTAGAATAATCATAACCGAATCCGAAGGTGTCGGTCTTATTAATCTTATTGTTACTCAGAGGACAAGAGAGAGGTAATTTCTTAAACTCTCTTATACTTGGATTCCACAAAATAAGAGTTTTTCTTGACACAACTAGACATAACAAGCCGTTGCAAGAACCTAAAATTTCAAAAAGAAAACGTCTCCTCTTTGGATATATCCGGGGAAAATTAAGCTTGCACGACTCACATACTCCATACCTCATCGATTGAAGAGTATAAGTAGAAGAGAGGATAAGCCGATGCATACTATTGGATTCGCTTTCTTTAACATAATTGAGGTGTGTCCTGATAAAGCTTGGGCTTGTAAGTAAAGCGTTCCAGTATTTGGAGAGACGTCGAAAACGCACTATAAATTTTAGTGGAAGTCTGGCCAATATCCCAATGATTAGATCATCATGAATTCGTGCCCTTCTCTTCCGCTTCTTCATCGTTGGAGCCATTGTCTGTTTCTGATCAGGAGCAGGCTGCAGTTGCAAACTTGCCGTTGTCTGCTTCTGATCAGGCTGCAGTAGCAAACTTACCAATCCTTTGGATTGAGGTTTCATTTGCTTTTTTTTAGGGTTTTGGGTGATTAAGGATATTATTTATTGACGTTGCAAATATTTATATATTTAAAGGTTGGCCTGGTAGAAGCCTAGGAAGAATGTAACAGGTCTTCCTTCTTCGCGCAAAACTCGTTAAATACTTCGAATCCAACTCAACTTTTTCTTCAACTCAAAAGTAAATACTTCCAGTCCAACTCAACTTTTTCTTCAACACAAAAGTAACCCTGGCGGCTCCAATCGAGTCCCTTCAATGCTTCGCCCGCAAGGAAACAGCCGTCACCGTCACCTACTGGAAGCGCGGACGCGGCCTAATCTAGATCCTTCAAAAAAGGGTAGGAATCACTTATACCCTGATTTAAAAAAGAGCTATCCGTTTTAGGCCAAACCCTAAAATTTTGGTACCAAATGTTTTAAGAACCCTAGATTTTGAATTGGGGGAAGCTGAAGTTGAAACAAGTCAAGAATTTGGAAGAAACCGGTTTCACCCATTTGCTTGATTTCTCAAAAGAAGAAGAAACCACGATCGATGCAATAATCCTGCCAAATGTTGAAAGCCTAGTCCAAAGTTCTCAGAATTCGAAAGCTGAAGAAGAAAAAAAGCAAGAATTTTGGGTCATATCCAAAAGCAAGAATTTTGGGTCATATCCAAAATAAAGAATGCAGCAAAATCCTTTATTTTAAACCCAAAAAAGGTTTTGGATTTGCGTAGCGTTGGTTTTTATGGAACCGCCTTTATCAAGATTGATGCTTTTAAGTTTATGCCTTTTGTTTACAATCTTCACTGATCCTGTTGAGCCACAATCATCTAATAGAAGGCCACCACCTCCACCATCTCGATCTCCATTTTCTCATCCTCCTCCATCGCGAACACCAGCCTATTCACCATCGCGGCCTCCGGCAGCACCTTCTCGCCCGGGATCGCCTTCTCGCCCGGGAGCGCCTTCTGGCCCTGCAGCGCCTTCTCGCCCAGGAACGCCTTCCCGCCCAGGAGCGCCTTCCCTCCCAGGAGCGCCTTTTAGTGCACAGCCGCCTCCAATTAATAAAAAGGATACAACCAATTCCCATAGGGAGCAGCCACAACCTCCTCCACCTCCTCCTCCACCACATTTACGTGATCACAAGGAAAAAAAATTGGGCTTTTGTTCACTGGAATCGTTATCATCTTGCAGGTTGGTGTTGTTGGGTTCCTGTTTTTCAAGAGAAGGCAGTTGTTGAAAGTCAAAGGCGCATACGAGACTTGCTCTTCTTCTTCATGAAATTTCCGCCCAGTTTTTCAGTTACATTGGCATTTCAATTCTTTTTGGGGAGTTCTTTTATTGGATTGAGAAAATTCTTTGATGAGCTGA